TGAAATACAAGAAGTAAAATCCAATCAATAGATTTCTTTGAAACGACAGGTCTACAGGTATCAGTTTTCAAGATGCTTTTTTATTATTATTTTAGCAAGGATATAAAAGTTCTATATAATCTATAAACACCCTGCTGAAAAATCCAACTTAAACCAGCCTAAGCTGGTTGGCTGGTTTTAGCTGGTTGACCAGGCTGGTTTTAGAGGGGTTTTGGCCATTTTCAGCCTAGCCAAGCTGGGAGTCCAGCCAAAACCAGCTATATCCAGCTTAAACCAGGCTGGTCAAGCTGGTTTTAGCTGGATTTGGCTGGTCATTTTCCAGCCTGACCAGTTAAGACCAGGCTGGAAATGGCTGGAAACCAGCCTAAAAATGGCCAAAACCCCTCTAAAACCTGCCTGGTCGACCAGCTAAAACCAGCCAACCAGCCTAGGCTGGTTTAAGCTGGATTTTTCAGCAGGGCATTCAAAATCTCATAGTTGCAATAATGTTAAAGTAGTTGACACCCTAAAGCCGACTTAGAAAAAATTGATATCTTATATAAATATTTATTTATTCATAAATTTTCTTTTTGGCTTAGTCACTTATTTACCAGGGGTCGCCACAGCGGAATGAACCATCAACTAATCCAGCATATGTTTTACGCAGCGGATGCCCTTCCAGCCGCAACCTAATAGTGGGAAACATCCATACACACTCACATACTACAGCCAATTCAGCTCTTCCAATTCACTTAGCACATGGACTGTGGGGGAAACCGGAGCACCCAGAGAAAACCCAAGCCAACAGGAGAACATGCAAACTCCACACAGAAATGCCAATTGCCTCAGCAGGGATTCGAATCAGCGACCTTCCAGCTGTGAGGCAACAGTGCTAACCACTTAGCCACTGTACCACCCCTATATAGAAGTACATGGTCTAAATTGGAATATATTAAAACAACATGTTCCTTGTCATTCACAAAAGGCATAAATTGGTTTACTTTGTCTACACTTTAAAATGACCACAAAAAAAAGTAAAGACAACAAATTTTTTTGTTGATTTAAAGTATTTTAATAAGTTAATCCGGTTTCAACTAAATATATTAAGTAAATTTACTTACTTAATCCCAGGTCCACTTATAGCTGAAGTTATAGCCGAAATTTAGAGTCACCATGTTGGTATTTTATAACATCTAGTTTTTATGAGGTGAGTCGTTAGCACAATACTTAAACCCCCAACCTGGAAGATCAGGACACACACACACACACACACACACACACACACACACACACACACACACACACACTACTGACAATTAAGCTTACCCAATTCATAGTCTTTGGACTATGAGGGAAACCAGAGCACCCAAGGGAAATCAACGCCAACATGGGGAGAACATGCAAACTTCACACAGAAATGCCAACTGACTCAGTCGGGCCTTGAACCAATGATCTTCTTGTTGTGAGACGACAGTGCTAACCACTGAGCCACCCTCAAAGTTTAACTTGTCAGTTTGATTGATGTAAGATGTAAAAAATGGTTCATTTGATTTAACTGCATATTTTTATTTTAAGTCAGCAAGATTTGTTTACAGTGTACTTTAAACAGCGATTATAAGCTTTTATTTTATTTATGACCTTGGCTTTTATTCAGAGGTCAACATTCTCAGTGCACTTTTTTTGGTTTCAGCATTTTTCTTATAAAAGTATTTTGCTAATAATTTCAGAATTTATGAACCAAGGAATTTTACATGAATGATTTTCTTTAATGTATATTTACCATTTTTTCATAGATTTTTTTATTATTATGTATGTTAACAGCGTACAGTTTATATAATTGTATATCAGGGTGTCCACGACGTCTTAAAAAGTAAAAAACTTAATCGCACGCCTTAAATAAGTCTTAAATTTACTGAATTATTGTCTTAAATCATTTTAAACAGGTCTTAAATTTCTTTTGTTTATGTAAAGCAACTCAATTGATCTGACACACATCCAATGACCAACAATTCATCTCAATACAACTTTTAGCCAAATCTATTCATAACTAGTATTAAAGTTTGCTGTGCATATAATTAGTTTATACATTTTTTAAAGAGTTTTTTTTTTTGTGCATGTGCATGTATTCAACTAGGATCTGCTTAATTTGATATATTATATGTGACTAAGAAATAACTCATTTAAATGCATTTCTTGATGGGACAAGTAAATTAATTTTCTTTTCTGCTGGGCCATTAAAAAATCTTTAGCGTTTAGCCGTAAATAAGTCTGAAATGTAATTCCTGATGGCCATAAAAAGTCTTAAATTTGACTGGGTGAAACCTGTAGAAACCATAGGCCCACACGGAATCTGCGCGGGCAGAATTCCACAGATTTTCCGCAGAATTCCGCAGATTTCTGCAGATTTTTATCCCATCATTAATTCTGTATATTTACTCGAGTAAATGTTGAAATCTGAATTTATTCAGTTTTTATTCAGTGATTTATTATTTTTATTTCATATATTAAGGTTTTAGTTTTGATACTCCGCTGGATACTCCCAAATAATTCCGCAGATTTTTACCAAAATTCCCTGCAGAAATAGCAAATAACGTCCGCAGATTCCATCTGGCCCTGCAGGTAACTATATATATAGCCTATGTTGTAACCGGTTTGAAGGTTTCATCACAGTTTCTCCAGTCCTGCATTGTGGCAAAGAATTGGTCAAAGTACAAATAGTAAACTGGAAAACATATACATAACTAGACTAAAATACTACATGGAATAGTTAGCTAACTTAGAAAAACAACCAAGACATGGAAATTCTTTAATAAAAATATATCAATATTACACATACCTAATCATCCACATGCCATAAAACCCAAAATGAAGATTGGTACTTTGATCAACTATAAACAGATTTTAGGCTTTTATCAGACGTCAACATATTTTTGCAGTTTTTGGGTTTCTGAATGAAAACATCTTACAAGAAAGAAAATGACAATGTGAGCTTCTACAGCATTTAGTTATAATCTATGACTTTATGCACCAATGTGTTTTACATGAATACATTTCTTCAATATACTTATATATTTGTCATCCATTCATTATTTTTTATTGTGTATGCTAATAGCTTACGGTTGATACAATTGTATGTCGAGGTATCTTAAAAAGTCGTACATTTCAAAAACAAAACTGTAGACCTTAAGAGGTTACACGTGAAATATTGTCTTGGTGACTTTTTATTTTTAAGTCATGTTGAAAAAGTTGCATGTATACAACTAGGGTCTGCTTGATTTGACACATTATTTAAAATAGTGGCTAGGAAATTCCTCAATATAATGCATTTCTTTATGAGGCAAATAAATTATTCTTTTTTTTTTCTGCTGCGCCATTAGAAAAATCCTTAGTGTTTAGCACTACATACAGCTGAAGTTTAATTCTTGATGTCCTTAAAAAGTTTTAAATTTGACTTAGAGAAGCCTGCAGAAACCCTGGCATATGGGAAGCTATGTGTTAGCTATATACAGTACAGTTGAAGTCAGAATTATTTGCCCCCTTTTAATTTTTTTTCTTTTTTAAATATTTCCCAAATGATGCTTAACAGAGCAGGGAAATGTTCACAGTAAGTCTGATAATATTTTTTTTTTTCTTGAGAAAGTCTTATTTGTTTTATTCAGGCTAGAATAAAAGCTGTTTTAAATTTTTTGATTGTTTTATATTTTTAAATATATAAAGTTTTATATTTTTTGATAGTCTACAGAACAGAACAAACCATTGTTACACAATAACTTATCATTCCCATTATTTGGTAAATATTAAAAAAAATAAAAATAAAGGGGGTTAATAATTTAATATTATTTAATAAATCTTTTTTGTTTAAATGCACCAAAAACATTGCCTATTTTAACAGAGAAATTGATAAAAATAGGCTGTACTCAGTTATGCTATATATATATATATATATATATAGAGGAGCTGTGCTAGTCTTGTCTGGGTGGGTAACGAGGATGGAAAAGTATGTCTGATTTATTACTTTCTCGAATTTCTTCCTTTTTTTTTGCAGGAAAATGTCTGTAAACCTTGTTTGATGATTGATGAAATTGGTGAATAATCATCAATATACATAGAGTATATTTGTCGTTCATTATTATTTCTTGTATTATGTATGTTAATGGCGTACAATTGATTTAATTGTATATGTGTTAGTCTGCAGTGCTCAGCATAATTGACCTCATTTTGAAAATGAAATTTTTTATCAATGTCTCAGTGACATAAGGCAGTGTATTTTGGTGCATTTAAACAAAACAGATTTATTAAACGGATATATTTAATAAAATAATATTTAAGTCACAGAACATATTTAGAAATTGAAAGATAACATAATTAAAATCGAGCAAAATATAAAACAACCTACAAAATGTTTTAATGTTTTTGCTTTTATTGATGTTTCCTCTTTTTAAAATGGTTATTAAATATTTTTATATACATATTAATATTCTTTATATTATTTTTAAAATATATTTTAATATATTCAATTTGGGTGTACTAGTTTTAGAACCGTTATCATGAGTTATTTTTTAGATTAGCTCCAGATTTGGCTTCAGTACTAACTAATCTAAAGCACAAATATAATATTGTAAAGCTTCCTATTAAAAATATGAATGTAAAAGGCAGATTTGTGAAGGGGTGAACTCATATATGCTGAGCACTGTATTCGCAGTTTCAAGTTTTCCTCACATTTTCTCCAGTCCTGCATAGTGACAAAGAATCGGTCGAAGTGCAAACAGTAAACTGGAAAGCGTATGACTAGACTTAGAAACGACAGCAGCATGAAGATGATGCAGGAGCCACAGTCGCACGCAGGAGCATTTGGATTGCAAATGTGGCAGCAGCAGTGGCAGGTCATGGCACGTTACACCATTTCAGCAGCCCTGGGCTGTTTAGGCAAATGAGAGTGTGTGGCTGGCAGAGGCAGGGCATTTACCCTCTCTCCCCCTCTCTTTACTGCCTCTTATTCAAATTTGGGTCAGGGGTGAGGATTTCTCACGTCACACAAGCTTGCAGGCAAGATGGCGCTCGGAAAGCTGTGAGATGTGAAAACAGAATGACTGTTTGAAGAGCTTCTGTCGATGCATTAAGGTACGGATACTTCATTATTACATTCGCCTTTGGTTGTTCGCAGCGCGGGACGCGTGGTTGCGGTTTAGCTGGGGTTTGGGGAGGCTTTCTTGTCTTGGTTTTCAAAGAAACACTGATTCCTCCAGCGCAGGGCTCTTATCGCGTGCCCACTGGGCTTTTAATGCACACACAGCGCGAGCGCAGCCTGGCAGAGGCAGGGTGTTTGAGCAAAACACTCATACCTGCTTCAGATTCGAGAATCGAATTAAACGTGAAATCGGAGTATGCTTGCGTGTTTACACTTTAGGGAAAACGATCCGTCGCCACCTTGATGGCAAACCCCGATCAGTGGCCCTTTATGTGGACAGCATTCCTGGTTCACCCCTCCCTCTGTGTGTGTTTTACCTTTAACGTGTGTAATGCTCACGTACGATGCGTTTTCGTTGTTGATGCACGCGCTTTTTTTTATTTAGGATGTTTAATTACGCTCGTGTATAATGTGTATGACGTTTTGCATTGTTAATGCATGCATTAAGAAGCCACAATTAAGACGTCAAATGTATTTGTTTCACTTAATGTGAGATGAAAATCGCAATGTGAATGATTATAAAACCCCTTTTATGCTGGAATATGTCGAGTCTTGCCTGATGTGTGTTGCTTGTACCGTTTGGGTAATGATTTTATTGCGAAGCAACCCTGGTAGAGTCATTTTACTTCCCTTTGCCGTAATGCTCACCCTGAGACAAGCAGTGTAAACATCAAGATTTGGGTGTTGTGACAGGTTATATTTGCCTGTTACACTGCAGCATTTACTGCATGTAAAAATGTAGACTTTTAAGATATTGTTTGTCTGCATGTACTTCCATCCCTCTTAATGAGAGGAAAAAAATAAGTGCTTTGTTTATGCATTTGTTTTACATCATGAAGAGCTTCTAAAGTGCTGTTGTGGCCTGAATTAATTGATGCATGAATGTTATATTAAATTATTTTACCTCTGTATCTTGAGGAGTGCTTGAAGGACCCTTTTAATCTCATCCATTTTAATGGGCTGGGGGAGGGGGCTTGTTTTACAGTGGTGGGTGGCTTTAGATCAGTGCCACACCATTAAAGTAACTCCCTTTCTGGGTGACAGCTTGCTTGAATAAGACAAATAAGAACAAACATCTTGATGGGGTGGGGAAAATGCACCTTAAACTCTAATCTGCGTGGTATTGTGACAAGGTAAGCAAGGTAACCTGCAGACGCTAGGAATGAGGCGCTGATGTTTAGGTCCATGGTCCAGTAGGGCTTATCTTTCAATTGTAGAGGTGGCGTCCAAACGATTCCCTGCGAGTTCGGGCTGGCCCTGTCGTAATTGTTTTGTTGTTCCCTACAAAGGTCAGAGAAAATGAGAATAAAAGATGTGTTTAACAGATGTAGTGGCATTCATGTTAAGATCTAATCAATACCCCCATGAAAGGCAGCCCTCGGTTTCTGCTTTGAATAATGCAGATGATCAGATGTATTGAGTGAATGGGGTGGGAGCGGCGCGTAAGACAGTTTATTTAGAGCCATTATCATTAAGGTCATTATGAATCGCGTTGTGGCTTTTGGATTGAAGTCTTGTTTCACGCCCTGTTGAGTGTTTTTGAGAGACGTTTGACTTTCTAGAGGCGCTCAGTCTTGTTTGTCGTGAAATGTATGATGGTTTTGACAACTTTATCTGCTCATCTGGTCATGCCAGCTGTGCTAGTCTTGTTTGGTTGGGTAACGATGATGGGAAAGTATTTCTGATATAGGCATGTGTCAGTATAAAATTCTGACGGTATGATAACCTTGGATAAAAATTTCTGGCAGTATTGTGATTACTGCTCTAAAATATACTCTTTTTTTTTTAAATGTTTGAGTTAAAAGTAAAACTTTTTTTTCCTCTTTTGAACACAATATACTTTATTTTGAGAAACATTTAAAATATTTTGGAGCAGTAAACATGTCAGGGTAAATCATTCAAACGAATCGTTAACATCTGCTGTCTATATTTATTTCAAAAACAGATTGTTTTTTACAATTTAAAACGGCATCATTGGATATATTTTCTGCTTGAGATATGCACTGGACACACGAGACTCACGCATGAACATTTACTTAAAGGAGAAGCACCACCGAAATGTCTATATTGCAACAGAAACCAAACTGTTAAACATATTCGTGTGGAATGCCCCATTTTTAATGTTATCAGACAACAATATTTATCTGGAGAGACTTTAAAGGAAATATTTTTAAATGTGAATCTATCTAAAATTTTACAATTTTTCTCAAAAGGAAACCTTAAACTGTTTTAATTTTTATCTTGTATATTATCGTTATTGTTATTTATGTATTTTACCTTGGACATTATTGATTGCTGTTGATGACTTTTAATTTGTAGAATATTTTTATAATTATAGAAAATTGGTATTTATAAAAAGTGATAAACTTGATCTATTTTCTTTTTGCCATGACATAGCCATAGAAGCTGAAATGGCAATAAAATTAAATCCCTCTCTCTCTGCTGGAGATACTGTTGTCCTAAAAAGGAAAAAAAAAGTAAATAAAAAATGGTACAGATATCTTAGGAACGGTATTGCAGAAAATTTTGAAGCCTTGACTTTTAAACCTTGGTATACTTTGAAAATGGTTATCATCCCATGCCTAGTCTGTCACTTTTAAAAAAAAAAAAAAGTTTCTTTTTTTGGCAGGAAAGTGTGTGTAAACCTTGTTTCGTCTTCTGTTTTTATGCTTATGTTTAATTGTTCTGTTTAACCCTTTTGGCCAGTTTAGATCTGCATACTTGTCTCAGTGCATGCATTGTGTACATGTTGCTTTAAGGCATCACCCCGTGTTTAAAATCTTGTCTAACATGCTTGGCATGTTTATTGACTAGATCCTTTCAACCTGGAACCTTTTAACCACTTCATGGGCTAAAAACCTACATCGCATGGGTGTGCGGAGATGTTGACTAATACGAATGCGAGTTATTTATTGAGGGTTATTCCAGGGTTGCCCAATCTGCTTGAGTGGTTGTTTTTGTCCCAGATTCTCTAATCGTTGATTACTATCACAGAGAAATAGCGTCTCTCTTACACTGAATGTTGTTTGTGTTATGATCTTCGGTTACATTTTGTTTAAAGTAGAAGCGCTACTTGGTTTCACAGATGAGTTTGATATCTAGTTTCTCAGGTATTCTGCGACTTTTAGCCCAGCCCATGGATGACATGAATATGAACCCTGATTTACTTTCGATTTATCTGCAAAATACTGCAGCGAGCGCCTGAACAGATGCAATAAGTGCCCTGCTGGTTTAAAATCAGTACGACTGCATGTCAAATGATCAATAACGTAAACACAATGCTAGTTGACTTTTTGGCACGATTGATTTAGTGCATGATTATGGTGTGCGATTTCTTTCCTGCATGTTAATCCAAACTAAAATCTTAGGTATTCCTTCATCTGTCCTTTGAATTCATTCATTTATTTTTGGGTTGTTGAAAGGACATGTCACAGTTCATAAAACTAAATACTGTACAATACAATAAACCCTTATCTGAGAATGGTTTCATCGCTATTCAGCAGTTTTCATCAACAACATAAAGATATTTACACTCGTTTTTACTGGGAATAAAAAGCCCAAATTTCTTTATAGGACAAATAGGGCACAATATTGAATTAAGTGAGGATAGCCAGTGGACCAAGGCTTTGAATTCTTCAGATAAGTGATATTGTGTTATCCCTTAGCTAAGGTCGCTCATCAGATTATTTGGATCAGGTTTGCTTGGCCTGTGTCTCTGGAGGCTGGTGGTTGGTTACAGTAAGCACTTAGATCCTAATGTCTGCAGGCATTATCTAAAGAAGTGTTAACCAGCCTCTTATTAAACTCCAATCAATATTTGGCTAATGTGGAAGTTTTAATAGTCTTCACCGCTCACTGAAACATTTGTAAAATCGCCGTAGGGAAGATATACTATCCTGCATCTCATGAATAATGTTTTGTTTGGCCAATGCTCTCTCTCATAACAGCAAAGGTGCTCTCTGTGTTTTTATGGCATTAAGACAATAAAATGTGTGGCCTCGGGGGTTCATGCCACCGGATAAGCTTGTTTATGAGGTTAAGCGCAGTCCTTGCTAGACTTGTTTACCTGTGTTGTTACTGGTCGGTTTTGCACTTTGGCTGTTTTTCAGCAATCTCTCTGATTAGAGTTGTTTCATCTCTGGGATGGGACTTCTGGTTTTTGAGGAGAGGTCAGAAAGTCAGTGAAGCGATTCGAAGACTAGCAGAATCTTATCAAGACTTGTGTGCAACTACTAGATAAATGCATTTTTCAAATGTCCCTTGTCTTTTGTTGTTTGGGCAGCGGATTTCTGGTGCTATCAAAGTTTGACCAAACAGTTGTGGTTTGTCGTCATCTATGTCTTTCTTTAAGCGTACTATAGTGCTTTAGGCCTAAAATTACCCTGGGAGATTGTATCATGAGGTATGCTTAGTTTTAGGGCTGGGCTTGCTAAACTAAAGCTTATTTAGTTTTTAATGTGACAAGTAAATGGAGACTGGGGAAAAAACTTTTCAACATGAATGGTATTTTAGTTCACAACTACATTCCTTTTGTAATGTAGTACCGTGTTTCTCAACCACGTTCCTGGAGGACTACCAACACTACATGTTTTGGATGTCTCCTTTCTCTGTCACACTTATTACAGGCCTTTTAGTCTCTGCTAATGAACAGAATCAGGTGTGTTTGGTTAAGGAGACATGGTAAATGCGATGTTCTTACTGGAACGTGGTTGAGAAACATTAATGTAGTATGATGATTTTGTCTTTATAGTTGCCTGATTTTGAGTCTTTTTTTTTTTTTTTTTTTACTTAGCCGTTTAAAACTGCTGACTTTGGTCTATTTTTTTAGTAGCATTTCTATTCAAGTGATGTACTAGTGGGAATGTAAAAATATCTAGTTAAATAATCAGTCATTAGTCTGCTTTAAGCCTTTTTAAGCTTAGATTTTAAGCTTAAAATTAGTCTGATTGTTTCCCTGTCTCCATTATTGGTTTTGGCTTAGTTGTACATTGCCGTCTCAAATTGACTGTTAATAGTTCATCTGTTAGATCCAATTCACTGTTACAACTGATAAATAATCAATGACGCATAAACAGACCTGCAGTCACCATTTAATTGATTTTTTTAGAAAGTTATTTCATGCTTTCATTCAAATTGACACAATTATAGATTTTTATCGACTCATACAATGGCATGCCCTTACAATAAACATACAGAAGTAGTTTTCAATGGGGTGTTCCTCCACCCTTGCTAATTTCTGCCAATTAGGCACTAAATAGTCACAACATTGCAAACGTGAAACTGTGCTTGGGCATTGTGTAAAGATAATTCCCTGTTTTTCCCACAGACACGCCAGTCCTGGCTGGTCTGAGTGGCAGAAACCCTCTTTGCAGCATAACAAAGATTCTGCTGCAAGCTAGGGCCTGTTTGTCCTGTGGAAAGGGTGCTGGTTTACCTGTTTCCCACCACACCCTTGGTGATATCCCAGCTCAGGTTTCAAGCTGTCTGTCACACAAACCAGTCAGTGACGTCCACTAGCCTGTTTCACCCAACCCCCATATAACAACAAAGGGACTGACCCTGGAGGCTGGCATTAATGACTGCTGGCAGGAACGTTAAGCTATAGTGGCCGCCCTCAGAAGAAAAGAAATTGTGTTACTGTTCAAGTCTTTCATCCCTTCTCTGCTTTTAGCTGAAAGTTGAGCATTTGAGCACACTTGAAGAAAAAGATGCCAGCTTATGCATGCTATCTGAAGGTCTTTTTACTCAAGTGTGCTCCAACCACTTAGGCCCCGTTTACACTAATGCGTTTTAGTTTGAAAACGCATAAGTTTTGCTACGGTTACGCCAACCGTCCACACTACGCCGGAGTTCTCGAGCGCCGAAAACGGAGCGTTTCGAAAACGCTGGAGAGGCCGTTTTCATTTTGAAACGCTGCTGCTCCGTCTCAGTGTGGATGATGGAAAACGGAGACATCTGAAAACGGAGGCGGGGCTGCAGACGTTCGCCTCTCTGATTGGGGCTTTTCCTGAATATTAAGTAGCCTAACACACACTTCAGTCCTGAATCTTCTCCGTGTAAGTTCAGACTTCGCAAGTATGATCAAGGCTGCAGTCTCTTCTTCTCAGTTTGATATGGAAAAGCAGACTATACCGAGGACACGGGTAAATCTTCAAAGGGAACAGTGTACTTTATAACTTCATTCACATCACCCTGGCTTCGTTGTTTCACTTTCTCAACAATAAAATGTAAACATGATTGAAGGAACTGCCTATTTTCATTTTAATATTAGCAACTTAGACAGCAGACATGTTGAGGCGCCGTGCTGCATAAGATGAGCGTCATCTTCACTGTCTGGATATTTATAACAAAACGGAGCCGATAACAACTGCCTCCTTTCAATTTCAGTGAAAATACGAAACATCCCCTCTCTTTTGCTGAGTATCAGTTTTAAGAATCGATAATGGCCATTTTAAAAGTATAACATACAATAAGTTTATACATTATAGGAAATAAAGGCAAGCGATCAGTCAATATACAGAATGTACGTGCTTGCATTAATCATTAACTTATCTTTGCGCTCAGCCAAAACACGTTACCTGAGAACAAGTAATAGATTCCAATGCCCAAAGTCAGGGAATATGTCGTTAGATAAAGACAACAAGATGAATGAAATATCCCGTTTAATAAATATAGTGAGATTAGATCCAGCGGGAGATGCTTGATGAGAAGTCCGACTAGCAGAGCTCTCATCTGGGTACATGGGCTGCAGCGCTTGCCCGAGAGCGTCTGTGTGGTCACGTGATGTGCGTTTTCAGCGTTTTGGTGTGGACGGAGAGCAGTTCAGAAACGCTGGGTAAAACGCGAGTGTGGACGCGGATCGTTTTCATTCTAAAACGCCGTTTTAAAACTAAAACGTACTAGTGTAAACGGGGCCTTAGGTTTGTTGAAATTTATTGTAGGAACATAGCATTTCTGAAAAGTGTACGACTTTGTGAAGCCTGTTCTGGTTCAATATGTTATCTGACGATTATGATTTGAGTTTGTTAATGGCTTGGAGTTGCTTTTAGTTTGTGTGTTTGCTTTTACCTCATTTAGGCCCTGTTTACACTAATGCGTTTTATTTTGAAAACTCGTACGTTTTGCTACGGTTACGCCATCCGTCCACACTACGCCGGAGTTTTCGAGCGCTGAAAACGGAGCGTTTTGGAAATGCTGGAGAGGCCGTTTTCATTCTGAAATGCTGCTGCTCCGTCTCGGTGTGGATGGGGGAAAATGGAGACATCTGAAAACGGAGGCGGGGCTGCTGAGATTCGCTACCTGATTGGGGCTTTTGTGTCATTGCGTATCCTTCCCTTATTCGTCAAGCCCCTATCACATGACTATAACACACGGCTTTAATGCTAACAGAAGACAGCAGACCAGCCTTCACTGTAAACAACAACATGAACACAGAAATGGGAGCGTTGTTTGCACTATTGTCTGTTTTAGGCACCATTATGCAGTTATTCATTTGTTGCATTTAGTAACAACTCGACCTCGTCGTCTGTCCACAAAAATACCTCTCTTGCTTTCTTTGCCATCACGTTCATTGTTCAACCGGCGTTTGTTGACTAACAATAACCAAATGCCGAGTGAGACACATGCTTCCTGTTAATACTAGAATGTGCATGCCCAGAGTGTGCGAATGGTCACGTGATATACGTTTTTGGTGGTGTAGTGTGGATGGAGATATGTTCATAAACGCTAGGTGAAACGCTAGTGTGGACGTGGATCGTTTTTGATCTAAAACGCTGTTTTAAAACTAAAACACACTAGTGTAAACGGGGCCTTAAAGCTCATTTGATGATAGTGCCTGAATGATGGTGCCTCTCCCCTGTGATCAACCAGCAAATAGCAGTGGCTGGCACATAGCTATTGTGATTTAAAACTAAGTACTTCAGTTTGTAACTTATTTGTCAGCGTGGGTCAAAAAAATCATTATAGTGTCTGCAAAGTTAGCAAATGTACTTGATGTGAACTATCTGATAAGTGTTTGATGTGTAGCATAAACTTGTTTTGCAACTCCTGGTACTAACTTCTTTTTTTCATTTCTCTGTTTAGGTTTTGTAGGTGAAGAAAAAGAAGTTGGAAATGGAATTGCCAAATCATGCCAAACAATTGCTGCTGCAGCTAAACCAACAAAGAGCCAAAGGTTATCTGTGTGATGTGATCATAGTTGTAGAAAATGCCCTTTTTCGAGCACACAAGAACATTCTTGCAGCCAGCAGTATCTACTTCAAGTCCCTTATCCTTCATGACAACTTGATTAACCTCGATACGGACATGGTCAACCCGTCGGTATTCCGGCAGGTTCTGGATTTCATTTACACTGGCAAGCTTTTGTCATCTGATCAGTTCAGTGACCACAATTTCAACGCTCTTCTAACAGCAGCAAGCTACCTCCAACTTCACGACTTGGCTGCTCTCTGCAGGAAGAAACTCAAGCGCAATGGGAGATCCCTCCTTAATAAACCAACCACCCCTACCAATGGAAGAACTTCTAGGAACCAAAGGCTGTCCTCTACACCTGTAACTCCAAACCAAATGTCAGGGTTAAAAGACAGTGAGAAGACAAAGAGGCACGAGGAGCTTATCAAAGATGACTTGTCAGAGGACGAGATGTTTGCGAGAAACACCCACTGTACAACTTCAAATTCGCTCAGTCCCTCTACGAGTAAGAACGGAAGCAACGGCAGTTGTGGCATGCAGGAACTTGGTTTAGACCTTTCCAAGAAAAGCCCCTCAGGGAGCACAGCCACTGAAGAAGTAAGTCCCAGCAGCATCCCACAAGAATCACCTCAGTCTGCCTCAGAATCCACAGCCAACAGTGCCTCATTTGATGAGAACCCCAACACGCAGAACCTCACCGCTGGAGAGCCCATGGAGCTGGGCGTAGGAGAATGTGAAGAGAGCCAACCACCTCCAGACGTCGACCAGCATAAAAGCTCCCGGCAGGTTACCCGGCAGAGGCGGCAGCCCAAGAGCGAAGGCAAAAAGGGTGAAGACATGGAACGAGTAACTTTACCAAACGGAGTCTCCAAAAGATTGAAAGTGGCTGGAGAGAGGCTCCCTGCTGGTGGGAACGGCAACTCCGAAGTATCCTTCCAGTGTAAAGATGAAGAGGAAGGCTTGGAGAATGGACAGGAGCAGAGTGAAGAGAGTGGACAGAGCGAGAACGAAGGTGGGCGGAATAGCGCCAATTACGTGTACCGCCAGGAAGGTTTTGAGCCCGCCCTTGGCGACAACCTTTACGTTTGCATCCCCTGTGGTAAAGGCTTCCCGAGCTCCGAGGAGCTGAATGCCCACGTGGAGACCCACACAGAGGAGGAGTTGTATATCAAAGAGGAGGATGATGATTCTTATCCAAAGGAAGATGAAGTAGAAGCGGAAGACTTGTCTTCACAAATAACCCAAGTCCATGGCACCGAGACGCGTCGCTTCAGCTGCTCGGTCTGCAACAAGAGCTACAAAGATCCGGCCACTCTTCGTCAACATGAGAAGACGCACTGGCTCACCCGTCCCTTCCCCTGTAACATCTGCGGCAAGATGTTCACCCAACGTGGCACCATGACACGCCACATGCGCAGCCACCTGGGGCTGAAGCCCTTTGCCTGCGAGGAATGCGGCATGCGCTTTACTCGCCAATACCGGCTCACAGAGCACATGCGGGTTCACTCAGGTGAGAAGCCGTACGAATGTCAGCTTTGTGGGGGCAAATTTACCCAGCAGCGTAACCTCATTAGCCACCTACGAATGCATACCTCCCCATCATAAGCCAAAGACACCTTGAACAGGAGACCCTCAGCAAAAAGAGTCAATGCACACCTCTTCCATTTGAAGTACACAGCAAGGAGCCAATAACCCAAAGCAGGATCCTCATCTGCTGTAAAGTGTAGGAGGAGCCTTTCAGACAGAGAGCCCCAACAATGGAAAGAATTAACCGATTGGTATGAGTTTATGGGTTATGATTTTGTTTTCTTTTTGAATGTTGCTGTGAATGTATAACTGGGGTACTAATTTTATATATATATTTTTGGTTTCCTGGGATATTGTGACCACTCCCAACCACTGCAGTCCATACATTGCTTTTATGATACATCTTAAGTCTATGTGGTCTGTCTGGTTGTTGTTGTTTTTTTTTTTTTTTTTTTGTGTCCCAGAAATATTCCTCCTTTCTGTTCTTGGTCATAAATTCTGTAAATCCCTCTCTACGGTTTTGGACTTGTAATGACCAAGTACTTGTATAAACAAAGGTTCAAGTTCTTTGAAGTGTCTTCTAAGGGTCTCAAAGATAGCGTTGTCTTTTAAGTGGTGTTTCATAAAAGCTTTGTGCATCCAACCAAACATTTCCCAGTATACCTTCTCGGCACATCACATCCTCTGGCTTTGTTCTAGGTGTAGCTGGGAAACAGGGCCTTTACCATGAACACCCTGCTCCTACATCTGGATGCAAGCCAATGGCAAAGTGGTGTCGAGAGGCCGTGGGCATATTTTGTCGTTTACTCAAATATATATATATATATATAGGGTACTCAAGTATATAGGGTTTTACTCTCAAAGAAAAGCCAAACTTAAAGGTACTTGTTTTTAGATTTCTTTAGATAACTTATTGATATGCTTCTGTGAATGTTTTAACTGGAAGTTCTTTCCTTTTTTTTTCTTTTGGGATCAGTGAGGGTTGGGTTTGTTTGGTTGATGGGTTGGGCAGAGTTCATTATAGTGATATTGAACTTGAGAAATTCTGTCAGTACTGTTATTTTGACTTTTTTTGAATACGATTTCTTTTCCCTTCACTGAACAAGGCGAGACCATACGGTCTTGTCTCATTGCTACCTCTTAATTAAGAACAATACATTCATTTGGAACTATGGAGGTCTCTGAATATAGATGTATAAAGTTTTGCCGAGGCTTTCAAGTAGTTGTAAACCAGCCCATCAACAAAGCTTTTACGTTTTAAAAGCATTAATGTAGAAAATAGCTTCTTTGGGCGCATGTATTTAAGGTATTGAGAGTTTTATGTCAGAGAAATCCAAAGAGAAATTTAATATTTGGGAGAATGGCTTACCAACAAATGTTTCCTGTAGAATATCCCTACCAAAGGTTTTAGATTACATTGGAGGAGGTAAGGATTTTGTCTTTTTAGTTCTTGACAAAGAGCAATGTAGTGGGATGTTAGCTTATACTTGACATTTTACTAAAAACCAATGAACTTCTGGTGGTTGGTGGGCCGCTGGCTTTCCATGTTTTTATTTAACGTTTACAGTAGTTTCTCAAGAGTATCTTTTGGTTTCTTGCTTTGTCTGATAAGAGAACCTCAGAAGGACTAATTTGTATTAGTTCAGACAACCGTAGAAAACCATGAGAGAGCATAGCGAGTGTTGTAGGTTTTTGTGTTACACATCGACCATGCTTCGAAAGCTTACTGAATGAGGAGGAATTGATGCACTGGATTGCTTATTTAGCCATCATACCCCAATACAAACCTTGACGCCATGTTACATGGCATCGCATAAAAACCATTATCATTTGTTCTTTCGAGGTATAGAATCCGAGGTTATTCAAAATGCTGGTAATTGTGTCGGGTGAATGTTACATGGTCAGTGTTGGATAAACACTGATTGATGTATTTATAGTTCAGTGCTGAATTCTTTGCTGCCATTTTCATTTCATAACTCAGTTACAGATTATTTCGCCAGTGTATCACATTCCGTTGTGATTCTTAGCCTTCTTAATGTTAAAGTCTTAATGGCATTCCTTTTTTTTTGAGAGATATATTTGTTTCTGGTTCTTTCTCCCAAGTCTTGTGTTTGGGCTTGTTAATGACAAACTTTGGGGTGCAGCTATAGTCCTGTTAATGGAACAATGTTTACAGCCGTCTTTTTCCTGGAATCCTTTTGGTCTTTAGTTTGTCAAGTAGTCTCCGATAGGTATCCAAAGTCAGTACGCTGAAGACTCGATATTCATATCAGTGCATCATCACCACCAAAGCTTATCCAAATACCCAGTTACAGTAAAATCCAGCCGAATGCAAGACAGTCACCAAATATTTTCTAGCTTGAATATCTTCGGATGTTTTTGTTACAGTACAAGTGTGCTCTGGCGTTGATACACACCTCAACTCAGGGAGACTTTTAATAGAGTAGTTTTGTTGTCGATAGGATTCCAGGAAAAAGCCGCCACCAAATATCGTGCTATTTTACGAATACCATCAAACAAGCTGTGTCTTGGGTGGTGCGAGGCTCTTGTCGATTCCAGCATTCGAGACTATAGCTGAGAGAACTCGGAGAGCAGAAAAAAAAAAAGGATGACAAAAAGTTTCAAACTGTGACAATAATGTTTCTACTTCAAAACTTCAGGGATAGTTCTGTGTATTTTATAAACGCAGGGCTTTCGACTACATTTGTAAGACTGTGTCAATACTGTGTCAATTTCTGTATTTTATTGATGAAAAGCAAAACACTAGTTTCCTACGAAATAGATTTTACGAGTGTGTTCCCATTTCAAAACGCCTTCAAAAAGAGAAAAAGACACCAATAAGCCAGAGATGTACGTGGAAGAGTTTTACTTAAGTTCCAGAGTGTTTTTGAACAAAAAAAAAAAAAAAACGAAAAACGAAAAAAAAAAAGCGTTCTAGTAAGTGAAAATGTATAAACGAATACGATAAAAGCTCATACCCAAAATTTCAGACTATTTTCTAAACCAAAGCACATTTTGAATGATTGATTGATTGATTGACATTTTAAAGATACTTGTGTATAATATCTCATTGTTTACATAAACTCTTTACAGTCATAGACCTCAGGTGAGGGGAGGCCAGTTTGAACCTGCTTCTGCGTAGGTCACCATCATTCAACTCGAGCGATACCAATTGTAACTGTGTCTTACCCCGTGAACGTAGCTGCATGCTTTTGATTTTTGGGTGGGCTGCTGCATTTATCGATTGTGAATGGCCCTTTAAGATGTGCCGAGACATCCCTTATTAATCGTCACTGTCATCATTCTTTTTACGAATCTGCTGCTTTATCGTTTTCATTTTTTTTGTTTTGTTATAATGTTGTTTTTGTTTTAATATATGTAAATACGCATGAATAAAACTACATACACATTTACCTCAAAGTAACTATTTAGGATGTGCTGCATATAAATATATATATATATATAAATGTATAAATATAAATATATTTTATTTTTTAATTTGAGTCATCTCTCTCGATATTATTTCTAGAATGTAGTCTTATCGTTTTTGTATGTATTCTGAGCTGCCTGGGTTTGTTTTGTTTGGTTTTTATTCACGAAAGAAGCAACTTAAAAACCGACTGGCCTCTCCTCCATCTACATTGGTGCAAACACTTACTGACAGTGTTCACTTTTTTTATCAAATGTCTATTGTCAGTGATGAATGTATTTATTTGTTTTGATCTTTGACTTTGGGTGAGACGACGTGTCTTCAGGGTCTGAGTTTGTTCTGTTATATAGTACGTTGAGAGGTAAATAAAGGCATAGTTCATTTTTTTTTCAAAACCTGTGAAGACGTAGACATGAGGAATGTATTTCTCCATGAAGTGTCCATCATTAAGGATGTATCCACCATCACTTTTTTTTTTTTGTAACTCTTATCTCACTCAAAGCATGCATGTGCTCCGGATCATGTGTTTTCTGTCGTGGACACTCGAAGGCTGTTTTGTCAATTGTAAACGTTCTCTGTCTGTGCGCCTCTGATGCAGGAAGGGACCCTTTAGAATTGTGTCAAAGGCATTCAAGGTTGCGTTTTCTGTACTGAAAGCCGCCGTGTTGCCGCTCGCCGTGATTCAAGGCTGTCTGTTGATTTCCGTTTTTACATTATTCACAACAGAGCCAAAGGAGCCCCGCGTTTTCAGTCACAAATCTCATTACTGTAAGGTCACGCATATCTTTTTAAGCTTTATAATATGCACTTTCTAAGTTCTCACTGAGGTCCTTTTCTCAAGGCAAGCTCTAGGTGACCGCGTCTTGCAAAGTTCAGAGTTTGTAAGTGAACGCAAAGATTAACACACTCGTTTGCTGCTGCTAATGTGTAGTCTTCGTCCGATTCCACATATCCCAGATAGTATTATATGTTGAACGTTGTCGATTCATAACTGGTGAGTGTTAGCCGTTTGCAGGGACCTTGAGTTACCAAACCAACATAAACTTAACTAAACCAAAGCCAGATTTACAAGCACGTGCATAGCAGGTGGGCATGTTTCCAGATGTTTTCACTTAAACGCCATATCACTTTTTAAATGCTCCACTAGCCTGTCCGCCCCACCCTTCATGAGCATTCCAATATATGCTGATCGATATTTATGTTCAGTTTTGAGAGAGACATCGTCACTGCTGGAAGAGTTCGCTTGGCACACTTGTTAGTGAAGACAAGTTGCCCTTGATGTTTATTAGCTTGAGTTGAAGTTTGTGTGTGTGTGTGTGTGTGTGTGTGTGTGTGTGTGTGTGTGTGTGTGTGTGTGTGTTTTGGTCAGCCTTGAACATGGCGCGCGCAGACAACACGGCGGTTTCGCGTTCCTCAGAGAGCTTGTATTCAGGTCAGAGCTACATGCCGCATGCAGCTCGAATTCTGTCTCATGTGAATAAAACAGTGTACAGAGCTCATCTCACGTCTTAATGTACAGCTACGAGAAGTCATTTTAGAATCTTTTCATTAAAATCTTGATCAAAAAAAAGCACTGGCTTCTCTTGATTTATTTTTGGTCTGTTTGGTTTTATAATTTGCTATAGAAACTAATGTAGAAGTATTACACAAACTATTGTTGTTATTATTAGCGACAACAGTGGCTGTCATGTGAACTGCAGCCAGCGACGCATCTACATGCAATTTTTTTTTTCTGATTTTATAACGTGCGGTAGAAATTAATTTAGAAGTTCTCAAACTATTATTAGTGGGGTTTGCTTTACGACAAATCCACTATTGTTTTTATTATTATTACTATTATTATTATTAGTGACACCGGTGGCTGTTATGTGAACTGCAGCCATCAACATATTTACATGCAAAATACATTTTTTTGGTCTGTTTGGTTTTATAACTTGCT